TAAAAAGATATTGATTTAACATTTAACATCAATCAATCCATCCATTTTTTTTTCAAATTTCCAAATTATTAGAGTTAATCAATCTTAAGTCTTGCAATACATTTTTTGAAATTTGTAATTTTTTATTGTTTATTGTTTATTAACTTAAAACATCAAATGAGAGATAAATCCTTTCGTTAAGCAATGAAAGCTTGCCGAGAATCCTCGAAGAAGAAGTCATCGTTTAAATATTTTAAAACTAAAGTATTTTTCAAACCCAACTAACTGCTATCTCGTTTCCTTACGGGTACACTTAACAGTGTTAGATGATCTTTGTCTGAAAAGCCAATTAGCTTGATATGCAACGAACTGTCACAGTTCAACGAATTGACTTTTAACTCTCAAAAAAAAAAAAAAAAAAAAAAAAAAAAAAAAAAAAAAAAAAAAAAACCTCATAAATGTTACTTACTATCTATCTATGGTTTTGAGCTTTTTTTTTTATTTATTTCTTTTTGAAATGGAAAATAAAAAATTAGATGTGCGTTCTCCACCACTTCGCATACCATGTTTGGAACGTTGTGTCCTATGTAAATGATAGTCTATCATAACCTATTCAATTAGCCCACATTTTTTTTTTTTTTTTTTTTTTGTTTTCTTGTTTATCATGGACCAATCACTCAGGAGGAGATTCTATTCTTGTGCGAGAAGTGACGGTCAAAAAGAAGTGGGACCGGGGAAAAAAATAAGTAGGTGATAGGTGGTGGGCGCAGTCTAATCGGTAAAGCGAAAAGCTACTACAGTTGAGATTTGAATCCTCAAACACTAACTTGGTGGCCGCGATTCTTACTCTTCTACTAGGCTATTCGGGCGCCTCCTAATATTATTTGTCTGATGTCTCATACGATTTTTCACCTTTAACTCAGAACTCATAGCGATTTTATCCTGGTCTCAATAGGTCATTAACACAATCCTCGCTTCTGAATGGGAACAATTTAAGAGGCTTGCATTTTGAAGACGTACGACGAAATTCGTATACAATTGTGGACTTAAACGATTTACATAAATTGGAAAATGCTGACTGATTTCATTAATCTAAGGATTTTGTTTAGTAAGAAAAATTGTTTTGAGAAAGAAACCCAAAGAATCAAAGCCACTCTGCTCTTATTACGTATGAAAATGTGTAGGGAAAGGGGAAGAGGGTTATCAGGAAAGGTAAGTGCAATGCAATGCATGTTCTTATTACTTTATATTTTACTATGTATCCTATTGTACGAGCGTTTGCTAATGAACGATGTTAATGCCTTGAGTACGATTCTCATGTGGCGCTAAACAGTAATAAAATAATCACATTATTATTACGTCTATTATAAGTGTCGTAAAGGAAAATAATGTTTCGATTTTGTATGTAAATGGATTGACTTTCTAACGAGAAATACTTGAGATGCGTATAGGGCATGTTTGGATTGCCGATAAATCGAGCTAAGCAGTTATTATTAATTCAGCGATTTATACACAAGCATATGCACGTACGAATAGAAAATGTATATATATATATATAAAAGGCGTTAAATCGAGAAAATGCACAAATCTATATTTCATATCAAAGATTTAGCGGTGGTTACTACAATGTCTACGATACGCTTTATTATGGATAGCGCTAGCGATAGTCAGCCGTCAAAATGTAGGTAATCGGGTAGAAAAGCCATGTCTTTGTACAATAGGAGAGAGCGTATGCAACGCTAAAACCATTTTTCAAATATTATTTAATTAATGAGAGTCAACGTTCATGAAAGTAATACATATAAGGAATAATAAAAAAATTTCTATCTCATATAAAAATTTGGTTTACGCGGAATTGTTTTAAAAAATATTAAATGCAACATACGCTACAACATATCTATAACATATATATTGCACTTTAGCTTAATCTCACTAAAACACTTGTAATAAATATATTTTTTACGCAAGCTTATATTACGTTGCAAGTAAGACGAGACGAACAATGAAATATTGTGATAAAGGCTTTTATGGAAACGTTTACGCTTAGCGGCTTAGAAATCTCTGGCTCTTTGGAGTTTGAAAATTGAAAAAATCTCGGTTCGATGTTATTTTCTTATCTATTTATCTACACAAAAAAGAATTAAATTAAATGAGAATTAAATTTAATCTAATATACAAAAGTAAAAAAAAATACAAATGCAATAATTTTCTAACGTTGACACATTCTTAACAATTAGATATGTATGAAGTCTAGATAAAAGTTCACAAAAGAAAAAGGAAAACTTTGCTAAGCTAATGAAAACTATTTAAAAATACAGTAATTACAACAAAAATTTATTTTTAAAATGCATAATAAGCTATACTATACACATTATATATATACATATACATATATATATATATATGTATATTGTATGTGCATACATTTATGTCCTTTGTCTAATGTGACAAGAAATTGTGCTTAAGGAAGAAATGATTCTTAGCAAAATACCAAATACATTAAAACAAAATAAAAAAAAAAAAAGAAAAAAGGAAACAGAAGACGTATACGACAATCGAAAAGAACGCTTGGCGTTTTTCTTTCAGAAACAAAAACAAAAAAATCAAATTATTTACAAATAAAATTTAACAAATTTTACTCAACAAATGTCAAATTTTAATGATTTTTTTCTATTTTTTTTTTTTTTTTTTCTCATTTTGTTATTATATGTATCTACGAGTATATTTAAAAAAAAAAATTATTATGAGATCATAGTTTTTGGGAATTGTTTTTTTTTTTTTTTTTATTTTTTTTTTTTTGTTTTTTTTTTATTTATATATATATATATATATATGTTACTTTTATGATATTTTGGAAAGTTTCTTTTATTCATCTTTCGCAATTTTTTTACAATATTTTTTTTTTTAGTTTTGTGTGATAAAATGCGTTAAAATCTCTCTTAGAAATCATTTTAGAATACAAAGTATGGCTTAATTCGCGTGAAATGGTTTGGGGTGGTACTGGTGCTTCTTGTTATCGATGACTTTGGCTTAGGAGATCTTGTTGTTTTTTCTTTCATTTATTCATTTTTCCACTTTTATTTACGTTTAACAAGAATTAATAATTTCAATTGACTGCTTGTTTGAGATCATTTTTTTTATTAAAATATTACTTATCAAGAGAGATTTTAATCCATTTCTCATTTTATTCACTTTGTTTATTTTTTATCATTATTTATTTTTATTTATTTTATTTTATTCATTTATTTCATTTTATTCATTTTTTTTCTCTTTTTTTTTTTTTTTTTGTTTTTGCTCACTAGAAAAAAAAACAAAAAAATAAAAACTCTGAGACCAATTTGAAAAATTTATTTAAAGAAACTTTACTTATAAGTGTAATTTAAATTTTAAATAAATTTAAATTAAATTAATTTATAATTCAACAAAAAAAGATTAAATTTATGAAAAAAAAAAACGTTAAAATATTATAATCGGAATCATAAACTTACATATATTTATAATTATTTTTATATATGTTTTTATGCATTCACTAAACAAATGGTTAACTAAATTTTATTCAATATTTTGGAAGCAAAAAACAAAAAAAAATAATAATAATAATAATAATAATAGTAATAATTGTAATAATAATAATAATAATGCAAAGAAAAAATGTAATTAAAATTACGACAGAAGACATGAAATGTTTGTTTAATTTTCATTTATTTATAACACAGTTTTATTGCTTCAACGCTGTGTTTTTATATTAGGTAAAAAAAGCGAATTCGGTTTTGCTCGATGTTTCTATACCCAACACCCACTGAGATTTTGTATAAACAATAAACAAAAAAAAAAAAAAAAAAAAAAAATGAAAAAAGAACAGCAAAATATGCTAAACTCAAAACTTCGCCAGTTTAAATCGTTTCACTGAAAATGTTCTCTCACTTCTAATGATCATTTCACTTTATATATAAAAGTATTTCTCCCACTTGTACAAGAATTATCCGTTCGTTTTCGATAGTTTCGGTAATTTTTCCAACTTAATCGTTTCAAATTATTTAAGAGTCAACTTTTAAGTTTCTTAACTTAAAAAATTCAAACTTCACAGCCAGTAGGAGCGAATGGATGGACAGACAAACGAGCGGACAGACTTAAGTAAATCGAATTTGAATTTTGCACTGCTCGCGAACGTCAAGAAGCATTTGTATGCCTATCTATTAATTATTATTTAAATATAAATCGCCGTCAGTGGTGAATTTACAAATTGTCCTAGTATTACATAATGACGCTTAAGATCGATTTGGCAAATTTTTCAAACAAATTTTGTGGAAGAATTCATCGAACAAGGCAAATTTAAATATAAATGAAATTTTAAATGATTCTTATTGACAAAGAGTACATAGACATACATATTATACATACATGCATACGTACATACAAATTTGCGTAAATATTTATATTTTAAATAATTGTTTATAACAAATATTTTAAATCACTTTTTAAGTATATTTCAATATATATTTTAGTAGTGTTCTCTCCTTTCAATTTTAAGCAGATTACAAGAATGTTTTATATATACTTTAATAGTAATAATAATAATAATAATAATAATAATAATAATAATAATAAAAAATAAAATACTGTATTTTTGTTCTCAGAAGCATTTTAAAGTTTAAGCACAATATTAATTACTTTTTTATTTATCCCTTTCTTTTTATTTATTTATTTTGTTTTCTTCTTTTTTTTTTTTTTTTTTTGATTTTCTGTGTATTTTCAACAAAAGGTTCGTATCAAAATAAATCAGCCAAAAAATATGCTCATTACAAAATTGTTATTGTTAAAAGATCATCCAAAAGTATATATATATATACATACATATATATATAAATATATATATGTATATATATATATTCTCAGTTCTGTTGCTTTGCTATGCTTATCTTATTGCTGCCAGTAAAAAGTTTATATTATTTAATATTTTTATTTTTTTTATTTTTTTTTATTTTCGTTTTTAATTTTTTTTTTTTTTTTTTTGTTTTTCTTTTTTACGGAATTAATGTAGAATTCCTTTTCCTTTTTTATATTACATCGCTTTTTCTTTGCGCTGAGCAGCTTCACTTTAAAGTTTCCCCTTTTCCGTTTTCTTTTCATCATTCTAACATTTTTTTGCGGCCGGTCGCTGTTCAGCCTATTTACCTGTGACTTGTTGTACATTGAACTAGTTTCATGGAAATTAATAAATTCGCTTTTCTCGTTTAAAAAACTATGCTCCTTAGAGGTTTGGCACTCGCACTCATCGCGCTACTAGAAAACCACAGCCCATGGCAACTACGAAGACTGTAACCACCGCAGGCCAAGTGAAACTTTGTTCCTGTAAATGAAACGAAACAATTTGTGTTTTTTTCTGTCTTTTTTTGTTTTTCTTCTTTTTAATTCATTAATTTAAATAAAAATGTAGCAATAATTTAAGATGTGGAATACATTTTGTATATAATGTAACGTGAACGCAGCAAAACCGCTTTCCCGAACTTTCATTCAATAATCATTTGATGAGAGAGTGAGAGGCAATGCGGTTTTAATATACCTAAACATTTCCATTGAAATTCAGACATCGCTCGCAGACTAGTCATTTCTCGCATTTCTAATCATACACAAAAGCAATTTATGTCTAACTAATTGCTGCATTCGTATTTTCAGTCTTTTATTAATTACCATCATGTCCCGTTCCTCAAGTTCTGTCCCCCTGCCTATTGTTGAAATTAACATAATCGTCAAAATTTTAAATGAAAGCTTTTCCGTTGACAAAAGCAGATATGATCTGAAAGCAGATCGACGCCGTCCATAGATACGTTCAAATTGGTTAAAACAAATACATCTCTCTATGTAAGCTTGAAAATAGATATTAGAGTCATATATGTATACCTATATACATATTGTATTGTATATGTGTAAATGGAAACATTTGCGACAAGATTTCAATTATCACAAAGCTGCTAAGAAAGATTAACTAGGCTTAGAGCAATGTGATGTGAATTCATAAGCGAGCTCAAAACGAATGAAACTTTTCTCCTTCTCTGTCTATTTCAAGGCAGACCGTTAAACTAAAATACGAATGTTAAAGAAACGGATATAAAAATCGGACGCTAATATATTTATGTTATACATTTGGTGTCTACTTAAAATATATATATGTATCCAAAATTCGAGTTCAATGCGTTCTCATTGATTTGCCCAAATCATATCATAGCTTACAATATAGTACAATGTCCTAAGGGTTGCGTTTACAGCACAACATAACAATGAAGGAAAATTTGCATTAATTATCCGTAGAATTATGTTTCGATCTGACCTCGTTTTGAAAATAATCTTGGAAGATGGAAAAGTCTGTCAAGTCATCACATTTCTACCGTTAAATGCAACTCTCTTTTTTCACTCCCTCGTAAACGAATACTCTTTCCCGATCAGAATCGCGCCTACACGACTACAGTATGTCTTATTATTGGGAGCAAAAAAAGTCAAGAAAAAAAATCGAAAGTTCAGAAGCAAACGATTGATGATTTTAGTAGAATATGACGCCAGGTAGAGAAGCATGACAGGCGTGATGCATAGGTGTAACAAGGGCACCTACGTTATTTCGGCAAAAGCGATTCAAACACAAGCCGGCAATTTATTTAGTAAAAAAAGTAAAGTTCTGTAGAGAATCAATTGAGGCAAAGCACTTACAAGCTTTACAATCTTCATTTCTACTTTGTAAAAGTTTATGCAATTGGGAATGGAAAAGCTTTAAGTCAAAGCCCCGAATTGAAATCTCAACCTTTGAATACGTGTTTACAGTGGTAGCACAAAAGCGGGCAGTCTTTAGATGACACTAATCGGAACATTTGATTAATTTTAGCTTTCGGTGTAAGTGTTGCCCATCACTGTTTTCGCGCATTTCCGCAAACCCATTTCATCGCAAGATTTTTAAACCCGATCTTTCCTGTTTCAACTTCTTATTGTTTGTGAGGAGGACAGTGAGGATGAATATGAAAATATTAAAATAATCAAAAATTTCAAGTCGTTGAGTCCAACGTAAAGAAGATGGAACGAACAGTGATGTCGCTCAGCTTTGTAAAGCATATCTAATGCGAAGCTTTTTGCCATAATTCCAGAATTCTAGAATTTCCGTGGGCCGCTTATGGTTCTGCTCAGTCTCTACCATGGGTTGCTTGTACATTTCAATGACTCTTCAATGAATCGATCCACCAGATGTGTTCCTCAACTTGCTTAAGAAACGATTTACTACGACCTCTTCGTCATAAGTTATATTGTTAAACACTGCTCACGATGCTCAAAATGAATAAAAATTAAGTAACCAAAGTATATTTGGCTCTGGCCGAATCTTTTATGCCAACTCTCTTTTTCTTGAAACAAAAAAAAAAAAAAAAAACCCAAAGGATTTAAATTTCATTACGTTATTCTTTTGGAGGGGGAACGCAGACGATCTTTTCGTAATAAATGGGCGTTCCCTTTGACAAAGTTTAGTCGAGTTCGATGACCAACTTGAATACAAGAACTGCTATTGCTTCTGCTAAATTTCAAGCCGACATTTTTTGTTATTCGTTGTGATCGGACGGACGGGCTTAAGCAATAACATTTTTTAATGAGTTATGTATGAATGAATGCTTTGACGTTGCAAACATGTTGGTGGAATGAGTACATTTTCAAGCTGTCGGTAATGAGCGATGAGAACGAAAGAGGTGTCAGAGGTGCCACATGTTGATTGTCTCAAAGTGTAAAACTAATTCATTTCTTTATATTCAATGGATGTTAAAGATCAAGAAATCATTTAAAGCTAGAAATAAAAAGGTCATTAACTCTTATTACGTTGCCGTTACATAAACCGAATGCTAACTCAAACGCGTAAACGTTTTACAAAACGAAATCGAAAACTATAAAAAAATGTATCTGCACGTAAGCAACTATGGATGCATAAAAAGAACAAAAAAAAACAAAAAAAAAAAAAAACTAACAAATTTCTCTAACGAACAACACAGCTGTTACCTGATAGTAAAATGTATAAAATGCACGTGGCATTCGGTGTGAAAAAAAAATGAAGGGCGAAATACTAAAAGCAATATATATATATATTATATATATATATATATATAAGTAAATAACAAGCAAGGATAAAAATCATTTACGATCCAGAAAAGAAAATAAGAATTTTGACATTTGTACGTTATAGAAGACCAAGCAGTGCCTGCTCTGCCAGTCATGCAACGTAGTAACACACAAGCAACACCAATAACAATATTAACAATCAAACTTACTTAACTTACACACCGAGTGTGAAGAGCAATAATGCACTTATAAGGCAAGTGACAAATTGCAGCCTAACAAATAGAAGTCATAAAAACTACACGCGGAAAGTGAAGAAAATAAAGAGAAAACGACTCTGATCTTACGAACGCGTTGAAAATTCGAATTGCATTGCAGCACAAACACACATTTACCTATTTAATTATAATACCAGCGTATGGTATGCCATGAAGAATGGAGTAAATCAAATCATATATATATATATCATATATATATATATATATATATGCATAATATAAGCGAAAAGAAAAAGAAAAAAAGAAAAAAAAAAAAACGCTATAAATAAAATGCAAATTTGCGATAAAAATTAATTGCGCAGTGCTGTGCAGTGCAGTGTAATAAAATTAAAAATTGCCATCTGAATATATTCTCTTCTACATATACGATACATATATGTATCTATTAATGGCGCTCCGTTACCGATATTATAAAAATGGGATGCTGGTATTTTTCTCTAATATACTAAGCAGGAGACAGTTCACTGGAATAACGGTAAACTATGTTTTATTTTTTCTCCTTTTTTTACTTTATTTCATTTCTTATCATTTTTTAAACATCTTCCCGTGGACCCCTTTGACTACTACTATCGTTAACAAGAATGGAGAAAATTGATTAATTGATTAAATTATTTATTAGAAAATCTCTTAGAAAGTTGCTTACGATATACGATATGCGAAATATGCGAAACACCTTGTAATCTTGCAAAGAGAGAGAAAATCGTCCTTGTAGTGTGGTTAACCCATAAAGAGACAAAATTTATTGAACTAAGATGATACAAACTTCTTTAATGTTAATACCTTCCTTTCTTTCTTCTTTAATGTAAACAAAGAGGCAATCATTTCGAATATTTTACGTCCCCTAGAACCAAATGAATGCACGAAAAACTTTACACCTAATGTTATTACAAAACTTATTTTCATTCCAAAACTTCCAATTTTTTAAATCCCGTGACTGGATCCCTTCATTTCTACACATATGCATGTATATATATATATATATATATATATATATATATATATATGCAAATATATGCAATTGTGTGAAGCTAGTGCAAAGACATATTATGCAAAACGTTAACCGCGCCTTGTCATGTTTTTAACTCGTACGCTTCGTTAGTTTCAATTTCCTTTTTTTTTATTTATTTATTTATTTATTTTTTTTGTATTCCTTATGACTTTTGCATATATAGAACTCATATAGGCAAACGTGTAACTTAGCTTTGAAAATCGAGAAACTAAAAAAAAAAAAAAAAAAAAAAAAAAATATGCTTTATTTCATACATTGTCACATTACAGAGCTTTTCTTCTATTTTTCAAGAGACCGTGCTTCGTATTAAAAATAATAATAAAATGCTAGCGTTGCACTAAAGTGTGACTTTGAAGAACAAAGGATTTACTTTCAGCTCTGCTTGAAAAGGAGAAAAAGCTGATTTTCTTTTCTGTATACTACTCACTACACACTACTACTACTACTACTACTGCTATACAAAACAAGGCAATAACATAAATTTTAAAGGCAATTAATAAGATGTTAACCACGATGAATACTAAATAATCTTTTGTACAATTATACACTATATGGACATATATTTTAATGATTTTCTTAGTCCGTTGAGAATCCGTATTTTAGTGATATTTCTGTCGCGATATATATACATATATATGTCATTTCGAATGAAAGAATTGGAGAAAACTTTTAAAAGCATTACCTTCGTAAGCATATAAGATCATAAGCAAGGCGAACAAACAGACAGACAAGCTTAATATAGCTCATTATAATAAAAGATAAAGCGTTTGAGTGTTACATACATCCGCATAAACTTAATATATCCTTATATCACAAGCAATGTAAGGTACAAATATTTAATTCTAATGAACTAAGTCTACAAAAATCTTCCAAAAACAAAAATTATTTAAGGAAATTATGCTTATTACGCAGAAAATTGTTCGAATTACATGCACACACACACACACACACACTCATTGTTCAAATCACTGACTTGAATTCGAACACTGACTTGGTACTCGCGATTCTTACCAAATCATGCGGAACATAGCGTTTCCGGCTGTCTTACGCAGAATCTAAATCTAGATCTAGACACTTGACGAAACACTTGACATTCGTGATAAGAAGTTGGGCAAACAACTGGGAATTTCGACTGGACGTTAATCATTTCATTGCTTATGCGCTTTGTCAAGTGCTATGTTGTCATTCACTCTGGCCAGCAAGATATGCTGTGCAAATGCTGAATCAGTAGAAACGAACCAAGTTTTCATACAACGAGATTTATATTTGCGGCTTTGAGAAGCCGCATCTTGTACATTGTTTAAATTGTGGGTCAGCTTTAGTTTTTTGTCTTACAATTTTATGGGATGCAATTTATTGCGGCTCTGTAGGTTTCTCTGTCTCCCATAGAGAGAACAATGATGTCTTAAAAATGAAAATTGATTTTGTTGACAGGTTTAACATAACATATTCGACTATATTTTGATCATTAGTCTTAGGATCTTTTAAAGTTTCCCACATATAATCCTTAGAGTAATTTTTTTTTGTTTTTTTGGTTTATAAGTTTCACTTATTAATCATAGTGTGTAGAGCGAATTAAATTGAACAATCATTCCTTAATTCGTTCATGCTATCGATGTTCGATTTCGAATTAAATATTAAAACAAAAAAAAAAAAAAAAGAAAAACAAATTAAATGAAATCTCCAGGGATCCTTAAAACAGGCTAATGGGGTAAACAAAATGAGACATTTCCCGCAGTTCATTTCCCTACTTACTTACTTGTTTCTTTTATTTACAACTTACAAGGGATTGCTTGTAGCGTATATTAACTTCTCTCTGTTAGGTCTTTTTTATTTTTTTTTTCTTTTTCTAAAAACGCGAATATTTCCTCTTTTTTCTTTTTTTCTTCTATCGAACGTTACTTTTCTTTTGAAGGCATTCTTCTTCATAGCTTTGCAAAGGTTATGAGCCCAAGTGCAAGCTCAATACCCAACGTATGCAATACGTTACAAGATCCACGCAATAATTTTGTGAAATTTACTTTGTGTTTTAGTAAAAGGGTTTGTGTAAAAAGTGCTTCAATTAATATGAAATTTACTTATTGCAGACTATGAATGCTTATAACTTTTTAAAAAAATAATTTTTTTCCAAGGTCCTTAAATGCTTTATTTTCATAAACAAATTTCCGCCGATCTCCAATAACAAAGCTTTCGCTCGGATCACCAAAAATCCTTCTAAGCTCGAGATGTTTTGCTCAACGTTTTGCCTTTCGATTTTAATGATATCGAAAGGTCCTGCAATGTGCATGTATATGGAAATGCATGCTACGAAAAAAACTATGTTTCGTCCTCTCTTTCGAAAATTAATCCATAAACTCAAGTAAATCTTGGTTACCAGACACATAAACTATTGTTCAGGTGCTAGATTTCGTACATAAGATATATATTAAGAGTTTTTAATGGATAAGAATATGCCTAAAAAACATCAGAGACAAACATATATATATATATATATATATATATATATATATATATATTGTAATGCATTTCACAATATACACAGCCAAGGACACACAAACAATGCTATGAGAATAAACCCAAATGTTTATTAAAATGTTGAGGAAAAATTTTTGCAAAATAACTGAAGCGATTTATAGCTTGCATAATGAGGCTATATTTGGTTTGTGGCACAGATCGATTCAAAATCATTTTCTGTTTTTACGTCTTATTTTCTTATGTTCAACCTACAGGTCGCAATTTTTGAAATGTTTTGATGAAGTTTCGCATACTGACGTATTTTCGTTCCAACGGCGACCGGTATTGAAAATTGAAATGGTCAGATCGTTCCACTTTTTCGGCCACATTCCATATAACCACTCCCGCCGGCCCCCCCCACCCACTTCATTTTTTTTTTAAGACTCGTTCTATGAATAGCTATAGGATGGCGTAAGGTATTTAGTGATGAACCGAGACCCACTGCCGTGTTTTTATTTGTTTGAAAATACAATTTAAATTATATTTAAGAATTTTAAGCTCTTGGCCAAAATTTTTTTGGGCTTAGAAATAGCAAAAAGTTTCCTTTTTGATTTTTCTTGTGTTTTTTATTTATCAATTCGTGCTGTATACTGGTTTGTTTGATGTATGTATTCGTTGTGCATATAGCGTTGCTTGGTTTCTAATATTAATTCGTTCGTATGCAATAAGTGAATGAATCGAATGTGGGCGTCTTCACTTTCAAGGAGTTAGCTTCGGTCGAATTGGTCGATTCGTATGTGCGTCATGCATATAAGTTTTTCAAATATAGCCGCAAAGCTTTGTAGATAAGAACGAAAGATGAACCCGTAGTTACATTACGACAGAATACTAGAATATATCTTGAAATGTTTTCCTAATTATAAGCGCACCTACGCATGAATTTGGTTAACTTTTACGTGAAAAACTGGAAAATTATGTCTTCATATGTCTTCATTACAAGCATCCGATACACTTAACAAATCCTACATAAGCGATTATAGGAAATAAATGAGAGAAGGGGCGCTTTCTTTGCTTTGAATTTTTGTGTATTCAAAGGAAGAGGAAAATTAATTATAATTAAGAGTAAAGTTTACCTTCTTTTCTGATTTTGGTTTCGGTAAGTCCTTTTTCTTTTTGCGTGGTGGGATGCGACCATTAAACTCTTGCAAACGTTCACGGCCCGCTGTAAAATTATCGTAACGGTCATCGTATTCATCCCAACTGGTCTCATGTTCACTCTGATATTCACGCTCATCTTCGCCTGTCGAAGTCAAACGAGATCTGCAACCAAAAGCGCAGTATGTTAAATTTGTTGTGTGTATTTGTATGTATGTTGTCAATTTTATTTTTTTTTTTTATTTTTTATTTTATTTAGAACACAAACAAATTAAGATTTTATTGTATGCCTCTATATTTGTATATATGTGTATATGTTTATGTGTTTATGTGTAACTACTTGTAATAAAAAGTTAAAAATAATATATTGCACAGTAAAAAATATTTCGATATTTCTTTCCTAGTTAATAAAACAGTTGTGTATGAGCTTATCTCTAAAGTTAACTTTAGTATATTTTTCCTTACGTGTGTGTATGTATGTATGTATGTGTGTGTGTGTGTGTTTGTCTGTTTTGAACATTTTAAACAAGGGCAGTTGTTGTGGTAATTAAAAGCCAAGCACAGCACACTCAGATCGACAAAAATAGTATAATGGCTCCCAGAAGTCATGGGAGAATAAAATGTTTTTTTTTTTTTCTTTTTTTTTATAATTTTTTTCTTTTCTTCTATTCTTCTATAAATGCTGATGATGATGGTCCAAAGTGCAATAAACCCCGGGAAGATTTAACAAGCTGTGTATGCCTACATTGGATATGTTTGTATGGTGTCATATTTATGCATTACATACATATTTATTCATGTCTGGGTATTGGCTTCCATTCGAGCTTGTCTGAATTTTGTTTATTTATTTATTTATTTTTTTTTTTTTGCAGGCTAAGCTGATTAGCTGACTTGGTCTGCATTGCTACTACTACTGAAATCATAATCTTCCTGTTGTTCTTGTTGTATTGTTTTTTTTTTTTTTTTTTTTTTTTTTTTTTTTTTTTTTATACGAATTAATTTCTTGATCACTAAAATAAAAATATAAATTTATTAACACTTAATTTCTGCATAATTTAATTAATAAGAAAAAAATTACAAAAAAAAATAAAAAATGAAACGTTCATTAAGTTTATTAATCCTTTTAAGGGACTTGTTAAGATTTTTATGGCTTAAAACATGAGAAACATTTTTAAAAAGTTTTAAACATTATCGCTCCATCGAGATGTTAACAGCCACCGCACGGTTTTAGGTCACAATCAATTACTTGATAATTAATTGAATTGAGTTTTTTGTACTTAATTGCCAGTAGTTCAGTTAATTGTGGCCTCAAAAATGAAACATAAATCGCTTTCCACTAAGTGTGTAAGTAGACAAATTAAGTGACGATTTCTTCTTTCTTTATCCATTTACATGCATATCGACAAAATTTATCTCATGTAAAACTTTTTAGCAAACCTAACAACGGCGCTTTCTGATTCTTTCCTAATCATATGAGGCTGCGCCGTTTAACAGGGGCTCACCAAAAGTGCTACTTTCCGTAAGAAACATCGATGATGGAGCAGGGATCTAGCGATATATATATGTATACCGATATATATATATATATACACGTATATTGTGTTATAAAACACAATCGTCACGAAATTCATTCATGAGTTTTAAGTAATTTTGATCAAGAGTGTGATTAAGATTAAATAAAATATTGGGCTGTAAAAGAATGGTGTGACGCTGACATTGGAAATACTGCTACATTTTCTTCTATATATATTGCGTTTCTACTTTATGCACTACCTTCGGCATCCATTCTAATGGAGACGATGTTAAATTTTGTCCCAGTGACCGACCTTGCGAATATTACTTGAAAATTATTAGTAATTATTTCAAGTCCTTATTACAAATTTGTAAACTAAAGAGTCGATATCTTGGCAGTTCCATTAAATCTACAAAATCGATTGTTTGAAAATTTCAAATTAAACTAAAGTTTTCTAAATTAAATTTTTCGATTAAACTATAATCAGAATTAAAGATATTTTATATAGATTACCTTCTCGCCGTATCCGATAGACTGCGATGTAAATGTCGGTGCACAGCACCAGTCGATGTACCCGTTGATGTGGTGGCAGTGGTAGGCGTCGGCGGTGGTGTATATTGGCAATAACCGCTGGCAGTATTTGGATGATGGTAAGCGGCAACACGTGGATGAAGGGGAAAAGGCGAATGATAATGATGCTGATGACTTGAATTATTTACGGTGGGTGGAGCAGATTGTGGTGGTTGATTGCTAGAGTTGCTATTATTTGGTTCTGGTTGAAGATTTGAACTGCTGGCAGCCGGTGATGACTGATGGAAAAAATTAACTTCATCGCCGGCAGCAAAGCTAACGCTAGTACGGGGTGTGCGCGGTGTGCTGCGGCTGCGTGGAAAAAATACATCTCCTCCTACGTACGAGGGACTGTGTACCGAACAGGAAGGACTTTGCGGTGTGGGATATTGAAAAACTGGAGCTCCTTAAAATAAAAAAACACCAAAGACTTAGTTATGCTTTATGCATGACACCAATATATATATATATATTTATATATAATCTGTGTAAAAAGAAGAAACATAAAATTTTTACCTTTATATCGAATAACTGTAATTTCAAAATTTCGACCATAAATTTTTTTTTTTTTTATAACAAATTTTTTCTATAATATTTTTTTTTTTTTTTTTTTTTTTTTTTTTTTTTGTGAACTTTATGGCAAAACTAATAAAAGAAGCTAACAGACGACTGATGATGATACTGGCATTAGAAGCAACAACAACGTGAATGTCTGCCAACTATGCATGTCAATGGCAAATGCATATATGACTGCTGTCTGATTGATAAGCGCACAAACAAAATTATTTAAATAAATCTTTAACAGAAAAAATAAAACAAAAAGAAAACAAAATAAAAATCAAATAATCTGCCACAAAAAAAAAAAAAAAAAAAAAAAACAACTCAAATTCTTAATAGCTAACGAGGGGAGTATGTAAATTTATGTAAATGTTAGCGATAACAAGTGCACTACGTTTCCCTATGTTTAAGCATACATGCACATATGCGAGAGCTTTATTATCGAGCCACAGAACCCACAAGTTTTATTCTTATTAAATGCTATAAATAAATTAATTACAACAGCAACGTTTAATTTTCAATTGTTTGAAATATGAGTGAATGTTGCATAATTTACTTACTATTTATTCAGTGTGCTCACATTGTACACATTTACAATATTTATAAATATATTTAGAGACGTAACGTAATCTTTATGGCTACATATATTGTCTGACGTAAGTAGTGTACATAGTATGCCATCGCCAACAACTAGGGATCGTTTAGCACAAGTGATGTGCATAATTTATCATAAAGAATAATAATAATAATAGCAACAGCAATAGCAACATATACGTATATATGAACACATGCATAACACACCAGGCAGCAGCAATCAGGTGTAATTTCAGGGTCAATTGTGTTTATATACAGAGCTATATAAACAACAGCGTGTAAAGGTTGTTGTATAAGCCTTAACATGCAGCAGAAAAAAAAAAAAAAAACAACAAAAAAAAAAAATAAATTTGTAAAAAAAAAAAAAAAAAAAAAAAAAAAAAACTATAACAACAACAATAATGATAAAGGAAAAACTTGCATTTGGCTTTCATCGAATCTTTAACACCCAACGCTTCTATGACTAATTAAAGAAAAAAACCCCCAAAAAAAAAAAAAAAAAAAAACAAAGAAAACTAACTTATAAACGCTGCATAAATTTCAAATGATGATTGATGGTTTCAAAAGATGATTAAAATGAATGTTTATATCTATCTATCTATCTATCTATCTATCTATCTATCTACATATTATATAGACCACACATTTTAATGTATGTACAAGGCGTACCTGACAACAGTTCAATGAAATTACATATCGATATCTGTTATAATTTCGGTCAAGACGATAATGACCTCTCGTATTATAGAACTTCAAGCCATTGCGGAACTTTCCGCGAAACGCTTACGCTTACATTTCACTTTAATTTCTGCGGACATATATTTATTCTATTTGGCAATGCCTCGAATGATAAGTATACTCCAAGTGAGTAGATGAACGTCGCACTTGTTTCGACTTGTTGTATAGCCGGTATGAAAGGCCTTCGAAAGAGATGAACAGTTATTTTGGTCACTCTTAACAACCTTTTACTGTCTCAACAATATACGTAAACTGTACAAATTATTCAATTAGTGATTATTATATAACGAACTCATTTGTGGTGTGTGTTTGTGTGTGTTCTTCTTTGGGATTCATTGCGAATTCAATAATTAAGTTTTAATTTCACTTGAGTTTATGTGAAGACATATGGAGACGTCTATCGTTGCGTTTCTCAGTCTCTTCATAATATAAATCAGTCTTTAAACGGACTCGCCTTTTACTATGTCTGTAGAAGCTGTGTTAAAAGAAAAGAAAAACCCCGTTTAAAACTACTATCGTCTGTCTAATAGCTATTCTATCTTAAAGTTTTTGTTTTCGATCATAGCTTTTAGCAGATAACTGAAGTCACTGTTTACATGACAGAGTTAAGATTAAGGTATCGATTAGACATCAATAGCAAATTGTTGCCAGCAACTTTTTCGATTCGTGTATTTTTCAAACAAATTGAAATCTTCGCCTGGCTGATGACGTCACATGTATTGACTTTTATTATATTTTTTTAAAGTTACTTATTATGAATTCATATTTTTTTTTTTTTTTTTTTTGCTTGCCTTCACTTAAGCTCTGTGGTCGGGTAATTTTTTACCTTCCAAGATGGTAAGCTAACAATTTACTTCATTCTGGGAATTTTTAAAAAAAATATTTGCAGTAAATCCAACTCAAATTTGTATAGTTTATCATCCGTTTCTGTCATTTTTCGCTTTATATTTGAAAGATTTTCAATTCAATATTTCAACGTTGAATAATTTCTTTTTGTTCTCCTTGAATATTCGCAAATGAATGAATGTTACGAACGCATTGATGGACAATATATACAAGCAGTTCGTCAGATGTAATATTTATGTTAATATTTTTCATATAAATCTGTTCATAAAAAGCAAACATTTATTTATTGATTATATTTAATATAACGTATGCATGCAAGTGCATATGTTACGCAGTCACATTGTACATGTAGGCGTTTGACAGGCGCCATAATTATAATACATTTTTCATTTTTCGAATATTAATTATATGCATTTTAAATGTGTATATGCATGAATGTGTGCATTCTTCTCAACCATAGTTCTTTAATAGCAACAATTTAATATATATATATATATATATATATATATATATATATATTGAATTTTATTCTTTTTGCTGTTATTGTCACAGTTTAATTAATTAATTTAAAAAAAAAAAAAATAAAAAGCTACTTGTCATTTAATTAAAACTTGAAAATGTGATTAGAGAAAAACATTAAGTCGTTTTAATTTGAATTAAATTTTCAACATCATTTCACGTTAATACTTAACAGCATATTTTAACAAAGGTAATATTATTCAAAAATTAACCAGCAATTGCGCCATGCAATGGCTTGAAGTATGTGGGTGAAATTTGTCACAGTTCGACACGACTCGCAATTAGATTTCATTTCAAATAATTAATAAACTAATAAGAAAGTTAATCTTTATAATCCTATATACGTAGGTTGAGATCAATTTTCGCAATATATATTACACGGCAATCTAATGAAATTCAATCCATTTTGATTCAAGATTTGTACCACAGATTGCAAAAAATAAACAACTGTTAGTAGTTACTACATAAGGGAACTAACTACAAGATCTCTTTTATACCTTTAAAAAAAAAATAAAAATAAAAAAAATAAAAATAAAAAAAAAATACGAATAACATGGTGCGGGATAACTTGAGGTCATACATGAAAGTAACGCTATCTCTTTCGACGATTAAACTCGAATTTCACCTATCATGCTATCATGATAGAAAAGTAACGGACCGACCGAACAATGAGATGTTTTTCCCCAAAGGCAGTTCAACTCAAAGTTATTGGATTTTCGTAAAAAAATCACTACTACCACTACTCGTACATTTCATAGGGCTTTCTTCGTTCTGCAATGCGAAAGAAAAATGAACCGTTAGCCCCGTGCAGGTAACTCTCTTCTACTGAAACCTTGACAAGAACACTTATCGATCCAGCCGTACGTAATCAAAGTCGAACATTTATTATAGATCAACTCTTCCCACGTACTTTACCAGAACGAAGAGCAACGTACGAACGAGCAAGACGAACGAACTTTGCTCAAAGGACCGTCTTAAGAGGGTCTTTACCGTGTTCGTCTTTTCAACAATTAATTACCAAATTCTGAATTGTGAACAGTGAGCCAAGAGAGTGCTGCACATACAAAATGTGTTAATTACTTGTGATGCTTTCCTATCGTTATTGAATTTGAATCAAAGTTTAAGCTGAGAAAATGATTCTTAATCGATCAGTGTAATAAAAGGTGTGTGTATATTTACAAACATCCGCACAAATTTAAAATTGCCCTTACGATGTGATAGTAGCTAGAAATATTTCCAAAAGATCAACGGTTGGACCGGATTTTGCATCCGCAAAGTGCATCCATATATCTACGCGTTTCATTGTATATATATATATGTATTGTGTAATATGATGGAAATAATTTGATTTAAAAAAAAAAAAAAAAAAAAAAAAAATTCAAAGTCTAATTAATCATTTCGTCTACCTTATGGTGCGTAATCAGTCGTTCTGTCAATTATTTAAGATTTGCATTACCATTGAAATATTTGCGACTATTAAGCTATGCGATCTCGAATTTTATATTTTATGATAAATAAAATTCGCGGAGAGCGAAAAAAAAAAAAATATATTTCAAGGTTTTAATCGTTTTTTTTTTATTCTTTGCTAAAGAATATTATTATATAACAACGTTAGCCAACAACTGCAGCAAAATCAAAGTAATTTGTATTAAAATCTATTAAATCCACAATTCTCTTAAAAGAAATTACATAAGGCTGCCAACTAAAATCTTAGTCGTTTTGATTGATGAATGTCAGCTGTTAGCAGCACTAACCAATCACCAATCACCAATCAGTCAGCGATCAGTAGCGCTGGCTGGCTGGCTAGCTAGCTAGCGTGCCAAATGGAAAAAAACACAAAAACATTCTAACAACACTTGCACGTACTTTAAGGTAGACAAGCAGTCTAACAGTTCTACGATGTTATTGAGTTTTATACCTCGTGGTTATTCATTATTATTGCTATTATTGCTATTATTATTATTATTATTATTATTATTATTATTATTGTTATTATTTTTATACTCGTCATCGACGAATCGTGGAATATTAGTTTTCTCAGTCCGTTCGTATCGTTGAGAAAGACGCAAAAGATTTACATTCATATCGTGGCATTAAATGAATTGACCAATGTCGCGCTGACGCTCTGCTCGACTGTCGGACTTCGCAATC